TCTTCTTTAGTTAGGGCTTCTTTACATCAGACGTATTTTTAAAACAAACATAAACTGCTCTTAAGTAAACTTATTAACTTAATATCTGGATCAGATGAAGAACTCAAAGCTCTGCTGTGTGTTTATTTCTGGGAGACTAGCGGGGAGGAGAAAACGGGAAAAGGCAGGAACTGGGAAGAAGGAAAGCTAGGCTATGACTGTAATCAGTAATGCTTAAGCTCCTTCCCACAATATTTCATATTTATATACCTACGCATGTGGGCGTCCAGGTTCAGCTACTACTGAAATTGCTCATTAAATGTCACACCGGTTGTGAAGGAAGGGGGTGCAAAGCCAGTGGACTTGTTCTCTCCCGTGTTTGATGAAATGTGGAAGATAGATGCCAAATGTCATCGAGTTTCATTCTTCCCTTTCTGCAGGTGGAAGTTTTCATTTTGCCTTTATCTGTTTACCTACGGAGCCCGGTTCCTGAAGAAGGTAGGATCTGCCAAGTCGCGTTATAGAATGATTCTCGCCTAGCTGTCAGCCCGAACTCCATTCTCCAGGAGGGTGGCAACGGTGATATTCCTACCAGCTGTCTCTGTCTTCGTGAGAAGGATGTGTGAATTTTTACTTGACTTGCAAAAATATTTACAGTTTATTCTTCGTACTAGATCACTTATAGGCATAAATGAAAGAGACAGTTTGTTTTTTATGTGAAAGATGTTGCTAAGGCCCTTGCCCCATCTGGTTGGTTATTTATTATGTGTGGGCATTAGTAGCCTTATTGTAACCACCAACTGGAGCTTTACACGCACTTAACCCGCGTTTTCATGTGACGCAACTTGCCAACTCGGTGGCTGCAGTCTGTGTCATGACCACTGTTCGCCGGTCAAAACACTATTTTAGCGCCATGCATAGTTATTAAGAGATCAACTACCAACTGCTGTTAGGAAGCTCCGTGCATTTCATCGATTAGATGCCTCCTGCTGTAGCTTTGCTCTATTCTGTATGTGCTCAGCCAAGTTTATCCGTGAGAGCAACTCTTGGTGGCTGTCAGTGGATTTCCCCTGAGTATTTCATTGCTTAGTGCTACTTGAAAAAGTTTAGACGGCTCAGATTCAAGACCGATAAAGAATTATATTCTCATGGTCATGCACATGGCAATAATAATAATGATGTGGCAAGATATATGAATTGTTTTGTCGTGTAAACCTGCAAAGTGTTGTAGATGTTATCTTTAATTCTTTTTTTT